CATAAAATAACCAGAGAAGTGTGATAATACAAATGCCCATCAATATTATAGGAGACAAAATGGACCCCATTTGCCAGGGAGTTCCATAACTGCTGAGACCATCTCCTGGGTCCCAGCTAATCATATCACTGAAAATGGAAATCAAACAAATCTTAATGCATGGATAGATTAGGAGAACTCCATCAGTGACCAAACTGTAAGAAGTAGACAGGATTATGATGTAGCAATTAGCACACAGCTGCCAGGAAACTCTTAGTGTTTTCATATTAAGTTCAGCCATGAAATACACAGTGCCTGTAGAAGTGCCTCCCATGCTATTTGTTTCCCGACTCAAATGGTTAGGCTATCCAGCCCAGGTAAGGGCACAGCTGGGTCACCAGCCAAAGCTTATGGAATGCACTCCAAGCCACTGACCCATCTGAGCCTAAAGAAAGAGCAAAGGAACCAGAAGTACCCCCAAGCTGTGAAACATTCCTTCAAAGGGAGTGCATACAGTGTTTCTGCTCATCTTCCCTACCCTGGTGTGAAGAAGATGAGCAGCAATTCCTTGCAGAATGCCCTGGCTCATGCCAAGTTCCATGAGAGGGGACATTCCAGCAGTAGTGCAGAATGATGGTGTGGTTGGGGCGTTTTGCCTCCCATTTTGCCTCAGGTGGCAAAAGGCCATGGGCCACCCGTGGGCTCTTTTGTAATCTGAGTTTGGCACATTCCTGTTCCAATCCTATTTCTTTCTCATTGTATACTGACTGTCTCTGTAATCAGAAGAGAACTCAAGGAAATGTACATAGAGATTCCAAGCTGTCTACTATCCAGTGAGGAAGTTGAATCATTCATCAATCACTTTAACAGGATGATTATGCATTGTACCTTCAGACCATACCTTATAAGAATAGTACTACCCATAATAGCAAACAATTATTAATAGAATAAAAAGAAAAACAACAATAATGATATTTTTCATATGAAAATTGCTTCTTTGGTCTTTAAAGTGATCCACTTAAATTATCCCTATAAATCAGATAAGTGAGTATCATCATTACTCTCAAAGCACAGCATAGATGGTTGAGAACTTCCATATGACATTCTTTGCTTGAGATGAAATTATAATCAAGAATTTTGAAATTAAGGGACCCCTTTTTCCTAGAAATTCATTCTCACTTATGACCCCTTTAAATAGGTGATCAACTTCTGGAAGTATTTAAAGGAGCTCTTTACTATTTTCAGATATGGATGCCTGTGTCAAATGTCCAGAAGACCAGTATCCCAATATGGACCAAACTCAATGCATCCCCAAAGCTGTAAGCTACCTCTCTTACAAAGAAACATTAGGGATTACTTTAGCTATCTTAGCCATTTCCTTCTCCTTTATCACAACTTTCATACTTGGAATTTTCGTGAAGCACAAAGACACCCCCATAGTCAAAGCTAACAACAGGACCCTCACCTACATTCTTCTCATCTCTCTCCTTCTTTGCTTCCTCTGCTCCTTACTCTTCATTGGACAGCCTGGAAAGGTCATCTGCCTTCTCCGACAAACAGCCTTTGGCATCATATTCTCTGTGGCCCTTTCCAGCACTTTGGCAAAAACCACCACCGTGGTTCTGGCATTTATGGCAACCCAGCCAGGATCCAAAATCAGAAAATGGGTGGGGAAGCGAATGGCAAATTCTATTGTCCTCTCCGGCACCTTTCTTCAAACTGGCATTTGTTCTCTTTGGTTATGTACTTTCCCTCCATTCCCAGATATGGACATGCACTCAATGACAGGAGAAATGCTACTGGAATGTAATGAGGGTTCAGCTACCATGTTCTACTGTGTTATAGGCTACATGGGTTCCTTGGCCATTGTCAGCTTCATTTTGGCTTTCCTAGCCAGGAAGTTGCCAGACAGTTTCAATGAGGCCAAATTTATCACTTTCAGCATGTTGGTGTTTTGCAGTGTTTGGCTGACATTTGTTCCAACCTACTTGAGCACCAAAGGAAAATACATGGTGGCTGTGGAGATTTTCTCCATCTTAGCATCCAATGCTGGCTTACTGGGTTGCATCTTTTCCCCTAAATGCTATATCATTGTTCTGAGGCCTGAACTGAATAAGAGGGAGCAACTAATAAGGAAAACCAAATGAAACATATATGATAAAATTGTAGCTTAGAGTGTTAAGGTACTTGGACTTGATTAAGAAAACATTAAGGAAATCCTTGCAACTTCAGTGAAGATGGATGCATCACACTTCAAGTTGGCTTCATACCTATATTCTGCAATCATAAGCCACACCCTCATGTTTCCATAACTTTTACAGTTTACTCAAATAAACTGTTAGGCTTCCAGAAATTCATAAAATGGAGGAACCCACCCCATGCAGAAGAATGTGTTTCTATTCAGGACTTCTGGAAGCAAGCAGCCAGCTGTTTCCTAAACCTGTTTAAGTAGGTAGATAAAACCTGTGCTAGAGAGGAGAAGCTGGAGAGCCTGGAATTTTTGTTTGAAATGAACTTCCCTAGCTACAATGTCTGCAATGCTGTATATGCAGTTGCACATGCAATTCAATTTATTGTATATAGGCCAATGCCTTCACAATGAGTAACAGAGGGAAAATGCAAGGTATTACGCTGAACCCATGCAATATTAATATATCAAGTCTAAGGAAGTCTACAGTATAAAAGTTTAAGATTACCATCCTGGGAGGATTGATGTGAGAACCAATAAACAATGGGAGATTAAAAATCTTATCAGGGCAAGTCTTATCTGGACAAATCAACAAGTACAGTGGTACCTCAGGTTACAGATGCTTCAGGTTACAAACACTTCAGGTTACGGATTCCGCTAACCCAGAAATAGTACCTCGGGTTAAGAACTTTGCATCAGGATGAGAACAGAAATCCTGTGGTGACAGCAGGAGGCCCATTAGCTAAAGTGGTACCTCAGGTTAAGAACAGTTTCAGGTTAAGAACAGACCTCCAGAACGAATTAAGTTTTTAACCCGAGTTACCACTATAGTTCATTTTATCTTCAACCTGATTGCATTCATGAATGCATTTTCATACCATATGAACTATTCCAAGGTATTTCCCTTCTAAGTATGTTGAGGGCATCTGTTGAAACCCAAGTTCAACAAAGGTCCTACATAATTGTGGAAATATAAGCATATGAGGGATGCGGGTGGCGCTGTGGGTTAAACCACAGAGCCTAGGACTTGCCGATCAGAAGGTTGGTGGTTCAAATCCCCATGACGGGTTGAACTCCCGTTGCTTGGTCCCTGCTCCTGCCAACCTAGCAGTTCGAAAGCACATCAAAGTGCAAGTAGATAAATAGGTACTGCTCCAGCGGGAAGGTAAACGGCATTTCCGTGCACTGCTCTGGTTCCCCAGAAGCTGCTTAGTCATGCTGGCCACATGACCTGGAAGCTGTACACTGGCTCCCTCGGCCAATAAAGTGAGATGAGCACCGCAACCCCAGAGTCGGCCATGACTGGACCTAATGGAGGGAGCAACTAATAAGGAAAACCAAATGAAACATATTTGATAAAATTGTAGCTTAGAGAATTAAGGCATTTATGCCAAAATAAAATCAGACATTATTCATGTACACCACTACAGCAGGAAGAATCCTAATACCACAAAATTGGAAGACTAGAGAAATACCATCTAAAGAACAATGGCAAGAAAAATTGATGCCCAGGTCATCATTCCATTCCATACATTGTTTAGCATTTTGACAGAAAAGTTGGTTGTATCAGCTGGAAGGGGGAAAATCAAGCTCTCTACAAATTATTCAGATATAATAGCCTCTGAAAGTGAACCATCTTAACAAGACCACAACATGCTGAGTGGGAAGTCTTCTATTTGCCTAAAATTTAGGGGAAGGTGATCTTAACAGGAGATGGGTATTGATACAATGTTCAGTTCAAACACTCCCTTCCCAGATAGAAAACCACATTGATTATATTGCATCATTCAATTTTATTATAAATCATTAATAAAAAATAATAGAGAAAAATAATTCTGGAAGGTGATTTGTTGAACAAGATGTAACTTCCATTTTGATGAAATTAAATCTCAAATGCCCCAGGGTGAGACTCTGAACCAGGGCATTCACATTATACTGAATATTAATTATATGTGGGTGAACATAACTCTAATTCTGGGCAGAGACATCCTGGAACCATCAGGCTAAAAATTCGGGGGGGGGGGGGGAGAATGACATCCTTGGAGCTTTGTATTAAATGATGCCACTTCAAAGGCCAAAAATAGACTTAAGAAATTATGATCATTCCTATTATTGTAATAATTACTGTTCTCTGTCTTCTGTCACCATGGACGCCCAGAGCTTATACGAAAAATCAACAATAAGCCTATTTTCTTAAGAAACAAACCTATAAAAACTCTTGTGTCATTCAGAAGTTGATCTAGGGATATGTATGGTATATTCCTTCTTTTGCATAACCACTTTCTCTTTAAATGTTGGGGTGTGTGTCCACCAGATGATTCCACCATGATCGTTAACAAAAAGAAGTATACTGTGAGTATCCCTGTTCCTCATACATTCTCCTGCTGGCCCAGTTTATTTTCTACTTCCTAGATTCTTACTGTGGAAAACTGAAGCTCATTGACCAATATAAAATAACACACATGCCCTGTAATTTGCATAACATTATCTGCGGGAAACAGGCTAAGAATTCACAAGTTTACATTTTGGTGCCTTTGCTCACCAGAACAATATTACTAACACCTGACCTGCAGAAACAGATAGGAAGTTGTTTAAAGATAAAAAACAAAAAATCTTCACTCATCCTTAGAGGATAAATGGAAGAGATAAAGAAGACACAATGTTAAAGGGAAATGAATGGCTGGAGACAAAATGAAATAAAGTAGCATGATATTGGCACACAGATTCCCTAAATTGCCATGCTGTAAATCTGTGTAGCAACAATATCATCCACCATTCACTGAAGGCTCTAGGAAAGCTGAAAACAGCCAGACTGAATACTGCAATTGGAATCATGGGGACACAGCTTTTGAAGGGACGTGTTACCAACAGGATCTTGCTGGTGGTGATGTTGCTGCTTATATTACTGTGTCATACAGTTTGCAAGATACATTCTATTAACTGCAGTATACATGATGATCCCCTCCCGATTCCTCATGAATTTTACCAACCAGGAGACCTTGTCATCAGTGGGATTGTTTCTCAAATATTCTTTCTTTATGATAGCCTCTCTTTCCTGGAACAGCGCACACAGACCATCACTGATGAACCAATGTAAGACCTTACTTCTTCCCTCTCTCACGCTGTAATATTTTCAGTTCATAATTATTGAGAATGTGTTAGTGTGATAAATGTGGTTTTCCAGTAACAGTTGGAAATTGTTGATAGATATGTTACATTCTACATTATATTGTTGTTCACAGACCATTAATAATCTTTCCTCCATGACCCTATTGATGTGACAAAAACAAAAAACCAAGCACATCATGCTGAAGCCCCATTGCTTGGGCTGGTGGTTGGTGCTGCTTCTGTGGGAAACAGGAGGGAATACAATATGTGCAGAGCTTAATTTATTCATATTGAACATCTGGATATACCGTTTGTGATAGAACATATGATGCTTATAGTTGTGCATTTCAATATTATATTGTATACTTTTAAGCTAAACTACCCCTCAGTCTTACACACTTAGTTAACTGATGGTGATGTGTTGAAATGCTCTCTTATTGTCACTGCAGCACTTATTTTATTAAACAGACTTCAACTCTGATTACAGTTCAGTGCCTAAGAACTACCAGCACATCCTGGCCTTTGCATTTGGTGTCAAAGAGATCAATGAGAATCCCAACATCTTACCAAATATATCTCTGGGACTCCACATCCTCAATAGCTACTACACTGCAAGGATGACCTATAAAGCTATCTTAAGCCTTCTGTCAACACGACATAGGTTTGTCCCCAACTTCAAGTGTGACAACCAGAACAATCTGATAGCTCTCATTGGAGGGTGCATCTCTGAAATCTCTGCCAATATGGCCATCATTTCAGCAACCCACAAGACTCCACAGGTAAGCTTTGTTTATGAGTGTATGGAGCTCTCACAACTGTTGTACACTATCTTGATCTCAGCAACCCTTTCTATATATTTCCCATGAGCATTTTCCTGTGGACTTCTCTTAATACACATGCTTGGTTGCAATGTTCCCTAATGTAAACTATTTTGCAAAACATATTTTCTTCTGTTATGCATTTTTATATATTATTTTCACTATTGTATGCATTTTAGTGCATACAATACCTTTGCATATGCATTTTATCCCATATCACTCAGCTGGACATTTTCATTGCTAAAATAAATGAATGGCAAATTTCAAAGGATCGCTTTGTTTTTTCTTCTCAGGTTGTTTTGAACATGAGCATTATGTAGGTCCTTGCTTAAATGCGAACTGAATTTTATTTCTCCTCTTTCCCTACTTATTCCCAGTACTACAGAGAAGTTGCTCTAAATCTCATTTGACTTTGTCAATACTATGGCCAGGTTTTGTGACATTTTGTAATGTAACATGAGAAATGGCCTCCTGAAGACCACAGACTTGGTGGAAGCCTAATCTCTCTCTGAATGTAGCCAGCTTCAGTCTGGATCACTGTTGTTTAGTTTGCTATTACAACTCAAGCTAGCAGGAGTGATAATTGATGTGAGAGCTCTAGCAGCATGGCAGAAGTGTTCCATGGCCTTTCATGGCACCATCCTAAACAAAGAGTGCTCTGCCAAGTTCAGGTGAGGTTCATTTAGCATGGTAGAAGGAAGACATGAATGCAGCAGTAAATGAAATATTTAGAAGGAGAGACATGTTGCCTGAGACAAGTGATTCATGATGAAACCAATCACTAAGATATCCTTAGTCTTCAAGAAGACATACAGGACCTCCTACAAGTGTATGTTTTAAATTTCTCTTCTCTTCTTATACTTTTCCTTTCAGCTCACATATGGATCATTTTTGCCAGTACAAGGTGCCCAAAGTTTATTCCCATTTCTATACCAGATGGTCCCCAATGAAGCCTACCAGCACATGGGTGTTGTGCGGTTACTTCAGCATTTCAGATGGACCTGGATTGGGCTTTGGGCTGTAGATGATGATCGAGGAGACAGATTTTTACAGACAATGATGCCATTGCTTTCCATTCATGGTATCTGTTATGCCTTCGTCATAAGAATACCCAAATGGAATTACATGGATGAGATGATAGAATTTGCTCTGCAGCATTTTGAAAGCTATGCAAAAATCTTTGAGGGAAACTCCAATACGGGAAATCCCAGTGTATTCTTTGTTTATGGGGAGCCTCCATCTTTTCAGGTTTTGAGAATGCTGCTGTTTTTTGCACCTTTATTCTCGCTGCCACCTCTGAATAAAGTTTGGATTGTTACATCCCATTGGGATTTTGCATCACACTCTCTTCAGAAAAATTGGGATATGCAAGCCTTTCATGGTTCTTTATCCTTCACAGTTCACTCAAATCAGTTATTAGATTTCAATAAGTTCATTCACAAATTAAGACCATCAAGGGCTAAAGGTGATGGCTTTATCCAGTCCTTCTGGGAGCAGGCCTTCAGCTGCTCATTGAAACTCTCTAAAGGACAGCAAAAGGAGGAAAACAAGAAAGTTTGCACTGGGGACGAGAAGCTGGAGGGCCTTCCTGGAATTTTGTTTGAAATGGACATGACTGGCCACAGCTACAATGTTTACAATGCCGTCTACGCTGTGGCACATGCTTTGCAGCTCCAAAAGTAGAAGGGTTATGCAAGGGGGGGGGACTGGCATTTCTAAACGTACAATCGTGGCAGGTAATTACTATTCAGCTTTTGGACCAGAGGTAAAGGGATCTGTAGATTTTGCATAATTTATTTCTAACTACATTTTGTATGCCTGCCTTCTTGTTTTATTTCAAATAAGCACTGCCAGATATATTAAAAAATTGTCCTAAAATATAATTATTTAATGAGAACTTCTTGTTTTATTTTGAATAATCACTGCCGGATATATTACATAATTTTCTTATTATAGAGTTATTTAATGAGTATGACTTACTGTTGAAAAATTAGTAAGGTATCTGTGAAGCCCACTGAATAAATTTCAAGACCTTGTGACATCTCTGCACATATTCTCTTTAAAAGGTGCATTCCTTTCTAAGGCACATCGCGTTCAATAACAGTGTGGGAGATTCTGTGCACTTTGATGACAATGGAGAATTAGTTGCATGTTTTGATGTAACAAACTGGTTGATTTTTCCCAATGGCTCACTGGTTAGAGCAAAAGTTGGAAGACTGGATTCTCAGGCTCCTTTAGGAAAAGAGTTAAGAATTAATGATGACCAAATTCTATGGCATCCAAGTTTTAACCAGGTAAGACAGGTTAGCTAACTTTAAAATATATAAAGCAGTGAACACTTGAGGATGTAAATGGGAAAATATCAATCCAAAACTGGATATAATGTACATATTTGTGAAATAAATGTAGAATACCATATTAAGAGAATTCTTTGGAAGCTGGAGAAGGAGAATGCAAAGGATCTGTCAGCCAAGGAATTCAGTAATCTTCTCCTCCCCCATTTCATTTCAAGCTGGAAGAGGATTCTGGTGTTCATAATTCCTCACTCTGCCCCTCACATGATTCAAATCAGATGGGAAGTGAACGATGGAAGAGTAAAAAATATTGCTAATCTCCATGTTATTTGTATGTGTAGGTGTTGCCTATTTCTGTGTGCAATGACAACTGCTACCCTGGCTACAGCAGGAAAAAGAAGGAGGGAGAAAAATTTTGCTGCTATGATTGTGCTCCATGTGCAGAAGGGATGATCTCTAACCAGAAAGGTAGGAGATATAATATAAAATACATCATATGGAAGGATATCTTGCCTCCTAAGGCACATATAGCCACTACTTTGATGAAGCTAAGCAGTTCTGGGTCTGAGCAGTAAATGGATAGGAGACAGACTGGGGACCCTACATATACAACCTTGTATTCCACAGTGTAATAAAAATGGGATATGAATGTAAGAATATATAACAAAATTCATATTATATTTGTTGGGGGGCAGGGGGGATATCTCCTCACAGTTTATTGTTGGTTTTACAGCTCCTTGGGTGAAAGGAAGGATATAAATGTAAAAATAAAATAAATGAATGAATACAAATGTAAGGTACCATAAAAGAACAAGAGAAATGTGATAGTACAAATGCCTATCAAAATTAAAGGAGGCAAGATGGCCTCCGTTTGCCAGGGAGTTCCATAACTGCTGAGACCATCTTTTGGGTCCCAGCTAATCATATCACTGAAAATGGAATTCCAACAAATCTTAATGTATGGATAGATTAGGAGACCTCCATCAGTGGCCAAACTGTGAAAAGTAGAGAGCATTGTGATGTATCAGTTAGCACACAGCTGCCCAGAAGCTCTTAGTGTTTTCATATTAACTTACACTATGAAATACACAGTGCCTGCAGAAGTCCCATGCTATGTGTTTCCCGAAACCAATGGTTAGGCTATCTCAGTGCAGATAAGGGTGCAGCTGGTTCACCAGCCAAAGCTGATGAAAGCCACTCCAAGCCACTGAACCCCTCTGAGCCTCAAGCAACAACAAAGGAACCTGAAGTTCCCCCAGGATGTGAACCATTCCTTCAAAGGGAGTGCAGCCCCACCCAGAGCAGGAACCATCTCATGCATCCCATCCTCACTCCTCCTCCTCCTGGCCCAGCCATGGAAACCATTTAGTATTGCTCTCTGATATTTTCTCAGCGAATGTGAACATGCGGCCCTAAAAGTTGACTTTTGCAAATTTTACAGTTAGGAGATAGAACTGTTTGTGAATTGCCAGAAAATAGCCTACATGTTTTGATTGTCATCATGATCCATCCAGATCAAATTAGCTTGCCACACTGCTTCTGCTTCTGGTGGAATTCCCCCCTTATGCTGGCGAGAGTGGGGTATTCCTACATACAGTGTTTCTGTTCACCTTCCCTACCCTGGTGTGAAGAAGATGAGCAGTATTCCTTGTAGAATGCCCTGGCTCATTCCAAGTTCCATGAGAGGGGACATTGCAGCAGAGGTGTGGAATGATGGTGTGATGGGACTCTCTCCCATTTTGCCTTAGGTGGCAAAAGGCCATGGGCCAACACTGGGATCTTTTTTAATCTGAGTTTGGCACATTCCTGTTCCAATCCTATTTCTTTCTCATTGTATTCTGACTGTCTTCTGTAATTAGAAGAGAACTCAAGGCGATGTACAGAGATTCCAAACAGTCTACTATTCAGTGAGAAAGTTGAATCAGTCATCAGTCACTTTAACAGGATGGCTGTGAATTGTACCTTCAGACCATACCCTATAAGAATAACACTACCCAAAATAGCAACAGATTATTAATAGAATAAAAAGAAAAACAACAATAATGAAAAATGTCATATGAAAATTGCTTCTTGAGTCTTTAAAGTGATTCACGTAAATTATCCCTATGAATAAGATAAGTGAGTATCATTATTATTCTCACAGCATAGCATAGATGGTTGAGAAGTTTCATAGAGTACTCTTTGCTTGAGATGAAATTATAATCAAGGGTTTTGAAATTAAGGGATACCTTTCTCCAAAGTTCATAAAAAAACTAGAAACGAGGCAACAAAATTCATTCTCACTGATTGCCCCTTCAGATAGGGGATGAACAACTTCTAGAAGTATTTAAAGAAGCTCTTTACTATTTTCAGATATGGATGCCTGTGTCAAATGTCCAGAAGACCAGTATCCCAATATGGACCAAACTCAATGCATCCCCAAAGCTGTAAGCTACCTCTCTTACAAAGAAACATTAGGGATTACTTTAGCTATCTTAGCCATTTCCTTCGCCTTTATCACAACTTTCATACTTGGAATTTTCGTGAAGCACAAGGACACTCCCATAGTCAAAGCTAACAACAGGACCCTCACCTACATCCTTCTCATCTCTCTCCTTCTTTGCTTCCTCTGCGCCTTACTTTTCATTGGACAGCCTGGAAAGGTCACCTGCCTTCTCCGACAAACAGCCTTTGGTATCATATTCTCTGTTGCCCTTTCCAGCACTTTGGCAAAAACCATCACCGTGGTTCTGGCATTCATGGCAACCCAGCCAGGATCCAAAATCAGAAAATGGGTGGGGAAGAGAATGGCAAATTCCATTGTCCTCTCCGGCTCCTTTCTTCAAGCTGGCATTTGTTCTCTTTGGTTAGGTAGTTCCCCTCCATTCCCAGATATGGACATGCACTCAGTGACAGGAGAAATACTACTGGAATGTAATGAGGGTTCAGCTGTCATGTTCTACTGCGTCATAGGCTACATGGGTTCCTTGGCCATTGTCAGCTTCATTTTGGCTTTCCTAGCCAGGAAGTTGCCAGACAGTTTCAATGAGGCTAAATTTATCACTTTCAGCATGTTGGTGTTTTGCAGTGTTTGGCTGACTTTTGTTCCAACCTACTTGAGCACCAAAGGAAAATACATGGTGGCTGTGGAAATTTTCTCCATCTTATCATCCAATGCTGGCTTACTGGGTTGCATCTTTTCCCCTAAATGCTATATCATTGTTCTGAGGCCTGAACTGAATAAGAGGGAGCAACTAATAAGGAAAACCAAATGAAACATATATGATAAAATTGTAGCTTAGAGAATTAAAGCATTTATGCCAAAGAAAAATCAGACATTATTCATGTACGCCATTACAGCAGCAAGAATCCTAATACCGCAAAATTGGAAGACTGGAGAGTTACCATCTGGCAAGAAAAATGGCAAGAAAAATTGATGAACTATGCAGAATTGGCAAAATTAATGGACTAACTGCATGAAAACTACAATAGTGACTTTGGAAAAGAATGAGAACCCTTTACAACATACTTGCAGAAAAAAGACAAAAAAAAACATGGACTTGTTGACAGGATTTAAATAAACATTTACAACTTTATTTACAGAGATCATAAATATAATTAGTGATAACAGAGCATTATGTATAAACAGCAGAATGTAACATTTGGTGTAACAAACCAGAAATGGAAGTTGGGGGAAGTCAACAGGGAGGGGGGAAACTAGAAAACGGATGTTAAATGATGATATTGAATAATCGTTATGAGAAAAGAAAATCAATAAAAATTATTTGAAGAGAGAGAGAATTAAGGCATTTGGGCTTGATTAAGGAAATATTAAGGAAATCCTTGCAACTTCAACTAAGATGGATGAATCACACTTCAAGTTGGCTTCTGTCAGGGAACTGCCATCAGTGCCGGAGGGAGAGAGCAAAATCCAGAGGGATTCCAGAGAGCGTCCCGGGATTGGGGTAGGCAGCCCATCTTCTGGGGAAGAGAATCGGCGTAGCACCAGTGGAGAAGGGGGGCAGATGGGGGAAGCGGTGAGGCGGTCCCATGACTCCTTGCCGGGGACCAGTGGGGAGAGTAGGGGTCCTCCGCTGCCTACTCCCTCCTTGCGCAGAAGGCTTTCGTGCAGAGAGAGTAGGAGGAGACTAGGTGTCAAAGAGCTTCTTTGCTGGAAGAAGTTTAAGAAACGCCCACTGACGGATTCTGCCAGCGATTGAGACAGCCACGGGTGAGTGGCTGTCCGGACAGAAAAGGTTCACTCAGGCAACCCAGCCAGGTGTTTGCACCGGCTTACGCACGAGCAACCCCTAGAACCATTACAGCTTCCAAAAATTCATTTAGATGAGGAACCCTTCCCATGCAGAAGAATGTGGTTTTATTCAGGACCTCTGATAACAAGCAGCCAGCTGTTTCCTAAACCTATTTAAGGAAGTAGAGAAAACCTGTACTGGGGAGGAGAAGCTGGAGAGCCTTCCTGGAATTCTGCTTGAAATGAACATGCATAGGCATAGCTACAATACATGCAATGTTGTATATGCAGTTGCATATGAAATTCAATTTATTGTATATAGCCCAGTGCCTTCACAATGAGTAACAGATGGCAAATGCAAGGCATTACACTAAACCCATGCAATATGAATCTATAAATTCTAAAGAAATCTACAACATAAAAGTTTACAGCATAAATGTTTTAAATTACAATCACTGGAGGTTCAATGTGAGGAACAGTAAAGAATAGGGGATTAAAAATCTTATCTGGACAAATCAACAAATAGTTTATTTTATCCTCAACCTGATTACATCCATAAATGCTTTTCCGTACCCTATGAACTATTCCAAGGTATTTCCCTTCTAAGTACATTGAGGGCATTGGTTGAAACCCAAGTTCAACAAAGACCCTACATAATTGTAGAAAAGGAAGCATAGGAGAGTAGGCATGATATATCAGAATCATGACACTATACTGTGTCTCTTCTGTAGAAGCTGCTTGAAACTTTGTGTAGATTTTTTTGGGGGGGGTGCTTTTCATGATTAGAGTAGCAGAAAAACAACCATGAAGCAAACACAAAGCTATAGCCTGACAGATATGTAACAGCCAGCTCCCAAGAGGTTCAACCCCTCCCTCCTTGCACCAGCATGTAATAGATTCCAAAACATCCCAAAAATACCCATTGGATAGTATACGTACGATGCAATAGAGGCAGAGAAAACAAAATTATTCATTTTTACCACTGAGTCAAAAATCACATTGAATTCTGATGAATTCTTTGGGATTCTTTCTCCACATATGCTCAAAATGTCTCCCAGCTTGTTTCATTGCTCTCTTCTCCAGGATATAGGATAGACCTTTATTAGCTCCAGGAGAGGGTGTCAGAAGCAACTGTGTCAACTGCCCAGGTCATCATTCCATTCCATACATTGTTCAGTATTTTGACAAAAAAGTTGGTTGTATCAGATGAAAGGGGGAAAACTAAAGCTCTCTGGAAAGTGAACCATCTTAACAGGACCAAAACATGCTGAGTGGGAAGTCCTCTATTTGCCTAAAATTTAGGAGAAGGTGATCTTAACAAGACATAGGGACTGATGCAAAGTTCATTTCAACCACTCCCTTCCCACATAGAAAACTACATTGATAATATTTCATCATTCAGTTTTAGTATACTTATTATTAATAAAAAATAATACTGGAAAGTGATTTGTTGAACAAGATGTAACTTCCATTTTGATGAAATTAATTCTCAAATGCCCCAGGGTGAGACTCTGAACCAGGGCATTCACATTATACTGAATATTAATTATATGTGGGTGAACATAACTCTAATTCTGGGCAGAGGCATCCTGGAACCATCAGGCTAAGTGCCACTTACTAATTGATATTTCTCACAGAAGAAAAAATAGTTGCAAAATTCGGGGGGGGGGGGATGACATCCTTGGAGCTTTGTATTAAATGATGCCACTTCAAAGGCCAAAAATACACTTAAGAAATTATAATCATTCCTATTATTGTAATAATTACTGTTCTCTGTCTTCTGTCACCATGGACACCCAGAGCCTATACGAAAAATCAACAATAAGCCTATTTTCTTAAAAAACAAACCTATAAAACTTTTGTGTCATTCAGAAGTTGATCTAGGGATATGTATGGTATATTCCTTCTTTTGCATAACCACTTTCTCTTTAAATGTTGGGGTGTGTGTCCACCAGATGATTCCACCATGATCTTTAACAAAAAGAAGTATACCGTGAGTATCCCTGTTCCTCATACATTCTCCTGCTGGCCCAGTTTATTTTCTACTTCCGAGATTCTTACTGTGGAAAACTGAAGCTCATTGACCAATATAAAATAACACGCATGCCCTGTAATTTGCATAACATTATCTGCGGAAAACAGGCTAAGAACTCACAAGTTTGCATTTTGGTTCCTTTGCTCACCAGAACAAAATTACTAACACCTGACCTGCAGAGAAAAGTAGAAAGTTGTTTATAGATAAAAAACAAAAAATCTTCACTCATCCTTAGAGGATAAATGGAAGAGATAAAGAAGACACAATGTTAAAGGGAAATTACTTGCAAGAGACAAAATGAAATAATGTGGCAGGATACTGGCACACAGATTCCCTAAACTGCCATGCTGTAAATCTGTGTAGCAACAATATCATCCACCATTCACTGAAGGCTGTAGGAAAGCTGAAAACAGCCAGACTGAATACTGCAATTGGAATCATGGGGACACAGCTTTTGAAGGGAGGTGTTACCGACAGGATGTTGCTGGTGGTGTTGTTGCTGCTTATATTACTGTGTCATACAGTATGCAAGATGCATTCTATTAACTGCAGTATACATGATGATCCCCTACCTATTCCCCATGAATTTTACCAGCCAGGAGACATTGTCATTGGTGAGATTGTTTCTCAGGTCTTCTTTCTCTATAACATCCTCTCTTTCATGGAGCAGCCTACCCAGATAATGATTGACGAACCTATGTAAGGAATCAATATTTATCACACAATTTGAATTATTGTATATATGAATTATAATTTTTCAGAACATATCTTTAATGAATGTTGTGCTTCATTGAGCTTTTGAGATAAGAAAAGTGGCACTTGGCTTTTTAATATGTGTGTACATTGCCTTCTACGTTATCTTGTTGGGCATAATAAACTACTAGCGTGTTTCCTCCAGATAACTTATAGAAATGAATGGATCACATGCATTTTTGTTTTGCTACTGGTGCAATCTATTTATTGAGCATTTTTTTCTGATTTGCTTGATGAGTGGTTATCTGACAATGAGCATTTATCTTCTTTTTAGCCATTTGTTCATCCCATATTTTATAGTTATTTCCAAACTGCTAAAAGTCCTATTCTTTTTAAGAATAGTTTTGTTGCACTCCTTGCAAGAGTTCAAGAATGCACTTCCTTCCCACAAAGAGTGACAACACACGTTGTTGTTCTTTCCACATTTTGTTGTCTCTCATCCTTGGCCTCGATCTCTGCCAATCGCTTGCCCTTTCAGACGACAGGAATTTTTAACGTGTTTCATATTATTATATTTTAGAGAAATAAACATCTTTCTTATTCCTATTGTTTTAACATATATAATTTGGAGAGCTGACTCCCTCACATAATACAGGGGACTCAGCTAGACTGGTAATGAAAAAGCGATTTATATGCATTGTATGTACAATATAACATTGTGCCACGAGATGGTGACATGGAGTCCCATTTTTCTCCACCTGTTTTCCATGTTTTACTTTCCAATGCTTTAAACTGAAATGAGTCTTTGATGTGTCTAGATCCAGCCAGGGAGAAACATAGGCTTATTGATTCGATATACAGGAGACAATAGAGCCAGAAAGCAAATCTGACCCTCTCACAGGACTATGTGTAGATGGGTATATATTTACAAACAAAAACTTGTCCCTATTTGTTGTTCATACTTTTTAATTTAGAATAATAGAACTGTAGAGTTGGAAGGGACCATGAGGGCCATCTAGTCCAACCCCCTGCAATGCAGGCATCTTCTGCCCAATGTGAGCTTGAACCCATGACCCTGGGATTAAGAGTCTCATGTTCTACCTGACTGAACTATACAGCAGATATTAAAAATTAAACGTGCAGAATAAATACGATCGTTGCCTTTTTCTTTTTTCCTTAAAGAAAGGTAGTTAGTGATTCTCAGGTACAATGAAACAGCCTAACGGTTCGGGGGGCGGGGCTTTCATTTTATTTCCCACCTGCAATATTTTATCTTGTATAACTTATGGCAGATGCTCTTCATTTGCATTAATGTGTTTCAAACTTCAGAGAATATCCATGGTCCATTATAAGTTACTTGAGCTACTCCATCTATTTGTTTATTTTGTATTTCATAGAAGCTGTTGAAACCGAGATTCTCAATGATAAAAATGAGTTAGTAAAATAAAAATGTGTGTTCTTGTGCTTTCTTAGTTAAACTGCTAATGGAAAACTATCACAGTACCTATATCTATATAATCTATATCCATATCTATATTCTTTTGGTTGGTTCTTAAACAATAGAAAGCACACCATAGCTTGCATAGGACACACTTCTGATTGGGTCTTGCTGTTTCTGTTATTTGAAAAGGCCCTGGCTCTGTTAGTTGAAAAGGCCCTGGCTCTGGTTGAAGCCAATCTAACTTCCTTAGGGCCCGGGACCACTAGGGTGTTGTTATTTATGGAACTTGAGGCTCTCCGTGGGGCATACCAGGAGAGGCGGTCCCGTAGGTACGAGGGTCCTAGGCCGTGAAGGGCTTTAAAGGTCAAAAGCAGCACCTTAAATCTGACCCTGTACTCCACTGGGAACCAGTGCAGCTTAAAAAGCACTGGGTGAATATGCTCCCATGGCAGAGACCCCGTGAGGAGCCTCGCTGCAGCATTCTATACCCTCTGGAGTTTCTGGGACAGCTTCAAGGGCAGCCCTGCGTAGAGCAAATTACAGTAGTCAAGCCTGGAGATGACTGTTGAATGGATCACTGTGGCCAGGTCGGGGTGGGAAAGGTAAGGGACCAACTGCTTGATGTGGCGAAGGTGGAAAAATGTCGCCTTGGCTGTTGCTGTGACTTGCGCCTCCATGGGAAGGGAGGCGTCAAGGATTACACCCAAACTCTTAACAGAAGGCAATGGCACTAATTGGGCCCCCGCAAGAGAAGGGAGTTGGTCCCTCATCCCCATGCCATCCCGACCTAGCCATAGGACCTCTGTCTTCGAAGGATTTAGTTTCAATCGGCTCCCACGAAACCATCCAGCCACAGCTTCCAAGCATCTGGTCAGTGTGTTCGGGGCCGAGTCGGTGTGGCCATCCATCAGCAGATAGAGCTGAGTGTCATCAGCATATTGGTGACAGCCCAGCCCAAAGCTCCGGATAATCTGGGCAAGGGGGCGCATAAAGATGTTAAAAAGCATCGGGGAGAGAATTGCACCCTGCGGCACTCCACACATCAAGGAGTGGCGTGATGACATTTCCCTCCCTAGTGCCACCCTATGTCCCCGACCAGAGATAAAAGAGCACAACCAGTTACGGGCTATGCCCTGTATCCCCACGTCTGTGAGGCAGTGGTCCAGAAGATCATGATTGACCATGTCAAAGGCTGCTGACAAATCTAAAAGGATCAGCAGTCCTGACCCGCCTCGATCCAGTTGTCATACAGGTAAGCTGTATGCATGAGGGTATGGAGGTTTCACAACTGTGGTACACCATCTTGGTTTCAGCAAGCTCTCTGACAGTGTTCACCATGATAGTTTAATTACTGAATGAGAGAAATGTGGGCTAGACGGTTATATAATCAGGTGGATGTGGAGCTTGTAGGAAAACTGAACTCAACAGCTTCTCATCAAAGTTTGGAGGTATTTTAAGTGGGATGCTTCAGGGCTTTGTTTTGAAGCTATTGCTCCTCAAAATGTTTATCAATGGCTGAAACAATGAGGTGGAGAAAATCCACCTTCATTGAGTTTCAAAGCCTTAAAGATGGTCAAGAACCATACAGGAGCCTCCTAGTTGCATTTGTTTGCAAGGTCCCCAAACACACAACTCAGACATTTCTTGTACGGGTTCTGAAACAGGGAGTGGAAGTGGAACTATGTTCCAACTGGAACTATGAAGCAATTTGGAAGGCCTTTCTCCAACAGAGTGGAGCGTGTTTATGGCAGCACCCTTCCTAATCTGCTACCATGAGACAAGTGGCTCAGTTTGGCTCATGATCCAAGCTTCTCAAGCCCTTATGCATTTGCTTTTGTTGTTTTCCTTTTTTTCCTTTTTGGGTTTTATAAACAAGAATAATGTTATACAAATAAGTATACCAAGTTTTATCATGTCATTTGTATATCACATAAATAGCATAATAAATGTGGAAAGGTATCTACAAGATATGGTTCATTATTAGCAGTCAATGTATAAGTTCTTGGTTCATGAATTGATTTAAACAATTAGGAAGAAAAAGGGGAAAGAGTGGGGTGGGCTCGGGTGGTTATGCTTCTATTCTTCTACTTAGTAGTGGGGGGGGGTTGTGTCAGCTTTACTTGTCTGGGTTCTCTTACTATTCACTTGTTGTATTTCCTTGGTGGTGAGAGAGGTTGGGGGTAGCTTAGGGTGTAATTGGTTGTCTTTTATTTGTCCTTATGCATTATCTGAATTTTCACAGGATGTTGAATGTGATGGACTACAGGACCGCTTTCTATTATGTAACTATGATGTCTAACTCTTATAATCCATCTGAACAATACTCATGCATTTTATTTCAGCTGACCTATGGGTCATTTCTACCACTAAAAGGTGTCAAAAAGCTATTCCCATTTTTGTATCAGATGGTCCCAAATGAAGCCCACCAGCACACAGGGATTGTGCGATTACTTCAGCATTTTGGATGGACATGGGTTGGGCTTTGGGCTGTGGATGATGACAAAGGGGACAGGTTTTTACAGACAATGGTGCCAATGCTTTCTCAGAACGGCATCTGTTATGCCTACATAGTAAGAATACCAAAATGGAATTATGTCGATGAGATGATAGACTTTGCTTTACAGCATTTAGGAACCTATGCAATGGTCTTTGAAGAAAACCCAACTGTGTTCTTTATTTATGGAGAACCTCCATGCTTTCAGGTTTTGAGAATGTTGCTATTAGTAGCACCCATACTAGGATTTCCACCTCTGGGAAAAGTATGGATTATTACATCCCACTGGGACTTTGCATCACTGTCTATACAGAAGAATTGGGAGATACAAACATTTCATGGTTCCATATCCCTCACAGTTCACTCAAATCAGCCATTAGGATTCCAAAGGTTCATTCAGATGCTGAGCCCTTTTTGGGCCAAAGGAGATGGTTTTATCCAGGAGTTCTGGAAACAGGTATTCAACTGTTTATTTAAAATCTCGGATGAATCAGAGGAGGGAAATGAAAATGAAACCTGCACTGGCAAAGAGAAGCTGGAGAGCCTTCCTGGAATTCTGTTCGAAATGGACATGATTGGCCACAGCTACAATGTCTACAATGCTGTCTATGCTGTGGCACATGCTTTGCAGGCCATATACAAATCCAACTCCAAATACAGAGGATTGGAAGAAAGGGGCAAACTGACATTTCCAAACGTGCAATCATGGCAGGTAATAACAAATCAATACTTTTAAAGTATATGAAAAACCATAAAGCAGACTTGTGTTTGAGACAGAGACTTAAAAATAACTATAAATGCACAATTCAACTTCATTAAAATGGAGTTTGTGGAATTCTTTTTCTTTGGAAAAACACTGTCAGTCACATCATAAAATACAGACTAGGTGGGCAATCTCCACTAGGATAAGCAGCTTAGCATGTGGCATATTGCCAGCAAGGTCAACTGATTTCAATCAGGCTAAGCCAGTGTTAAGTCCTCAGCTGCAGCTCAGCTAAAGATACACCATCACAACTTGTTCATGGGGGCTCAGCTGACTTACAAGCCTATTTAAGACCAAAGGTGGGGCATGCTGAGGACAGGACGGGGGTAGAAGGAGAAAGTGGGGACATAGGCAGGATCCTAAGATGACTCAGCTCTGTCACATGACTTGGGAATTCAGCATAAAACACAGTTTGAAAGGCTTGCTTTCCCTCTACCATGCTTAGGTAGCAGCAGCAGTGCTACTACTAGTGTAAATTAAGCTGGTATAACTTTACACCAGCTTAATTTACACTAGCTTGCTTTGTGTCCATTTCTTGTAGATATAATTGCTCTCAGATTGGGCGCCTACATAGATCAGCTTGCAGTGATGACAACTATAAGGTTTTTGGGAAGCTCACTGAAATAATTTTAGGACTATGTTGTCTCTATTCATTTCCTCTTTCAATCTAGGTCCATCATTTTCTAAGGCGCATCATATTCAATAATAGTGCTGGAGACAATGTGTGCTTTGATGAAAATGGAGAATTGGTTACAGGTTTTGATGTCACAAACTGGGTGATGTTTCCCAATGGTTCTGTGGTAAGAGTAAAAATGGGAAAATTGGACCCTCAGGCTCCTCCAGGCAAAGAGTTAACCATTCATGATGACCAGATTGTGTGGCATCCAAGCTTTAATCAGGTGAGACATACCAGAAAGTGAAGTTTGGGTCACTTTGTCATTGTTCTTTGCTTTTTAGCTGCTAGATTATGCAGGCTAACAATATTTCATATATACATTTTAATATATATTTCTTGTAGTATAAACATTTTGTATGCATATTTGTATGCTATTTCCACTAATATACACATTTATGTACATTTTCTGTATTCTATATTACTTTAACAGTTATGCATTTTGGTGCACATTATTTGGTTGGAGAACTTCACAAAATGTGGAGAAGGGCAAGTTTTGGCTGTGTTTCAGTTTACACATTGTAGGGTTCTAAACCACACACTGAGCCAACAGGGTGGACATGAGTAAATATTCAGAAAGGAAGGCTTCTCATGAGACATTCAGCCTGATGTGGAGAGTAATTAATGGCAAAAGCATGGAAGGGGAAGTTGGGCCAACTGGTTCTACCAACGTAAGTCTCATCAAAGAGCTGAATGAATGAAGAGCACTAATCCCAGTTTTATACTATTATGTTCAGGTGCTGCCCCTTTCCATGTGCAATGACAACTGCTATCCTGGCTATAGTAGGAAAAAGAAGGAGGGTGAGAAATTTTGCTGTTATGACTGTGCTCCATGCCCAGAAGGAATGATATCTGGCCAGAAGGGTAAGAGACAATTATGTAATGTGATATCATTCATCTTTTGTAAATTTACCGTATTTGATTTGAGACGTACGACCCAAGCACAAGAGCACTCCTCATTCCAGTCATTTCCAGCAGCTGGTATTCAGAAGCACACTGTCTCCAACTGTAGTAATCACTGATACTCCTAATCTTCATCAATTTCTCCAATTCACTTTTAAAGCCATCCAAGTTGGGATTGGAAAGATCGTCTAGAAAAAGACTCCCAAACCAGTTAAGAGGGGGTGTGGTGATCCCCTGGATCTGTGATACTATTTGGAGTACCACAGGAGTGTGATTGTTAAAAGGTTGGGTAACTGACAGAAAATACCACCTTGTTTAAGAACCAAAGTATTTAGCTGTGAAGGAAGTTGTGTATGGAGCTTGTTTAAGAACCAAATTATTAAGCTGTACATGCAACTACTTTAACTTAAGGAACTGGAGTAAAATAATTCCAAATAAGCTGAGCATTTTCCATCTAGTCTAGAAACCTGAAACATATACCTGAATCATAACAAATGAAGCGTAATCTCACCACTTCCACCGATTGTGGCAAACCCTGACTCCATATGACTCCTATAAATATATTTTTAGCCACCACAGGTTATCTTTTGGATTTTGTATGAGGAAAATCTTAGATTCTTGGAGTTGAACAAATAAGAAAGATTTATTTAACATAACAAAGCTGATAAAACAAAATATTTATCAGGAGGCAATGTTCTATTAGGAAAAAGTTACCATAGGAATAATTATACTAATTCTAATGGAGGTTACAGGCTTCTAAACAAGCAGAGCTACTTTTAAACTTCAGTTGCTTTTGTTCAGCTATTATGCTTCAGATAGATGTTACACTTTTCCAGAATATAAGGGGAAAGGGTTTCACAGTAAACTGCAGATACCCAAGTGTTATCATACAAATATTTGGTGTGACTGTATTTGAAATACTGTGTAGAGTTCTGGCTGCTTCACCTCAAAAAAACACAACGTACTGTGGTTTACTCTATTGATTGTATTTTACTAGTTGATCTCTTGATTATCTGGAGTACATCAACAAGAATTTCTGACTCACTTTTTTAAAAGAGGAAGAAAAAGCCATCAACAGCAAGCTTTACACTAAATGGATTATTGGATTTTGTAATTTTTATAATTATGTATGCCAACCTATAGAAATATTTGAACCATTCTTTTTCATTTTTCAGATATGGATGCCTGTGTGAAATGTCCAGAAGACCAATACCCAAACAAGGACAAAACCCGATGCATTCACAAGGTTCTAACCTATCTGTCATACAAATTAGATTTAGGGATCACCTTAGCCATCTTGACTATTGCTTTCTCATCGATCACAGCTTTAGTTCTTGGAATTTTTATGAAGCACAAAGAGACCCCAATAGTTAAAGCCAACAATCGAACCCTCGCCTACATCCTGCTCATCTCCCTCCTCCTTTGCTTCCTCAGCTCCTTACTCTTTATTGGGAAGCCTGGAAATGTGATCTGCCTTCTCAGACAAACAGTGTTTGCTTTCATATTCTCTGTGGCTCTTTCCAGCATTTTGGCAAAAACCATCACCATGGTTATGGCATTTATGGCAACCAAGCCAGGTTCAAAAATGAGAAAATGGATAGGGAAAAGATTGACAAATTCTATCATCCTTTCCTGCTCCTTTCTTCAAGTTGCCATATGTACTCTTTGGTTAAGTACTTCCCCTCCTTTTCCAGACAAAGACATGCACTCAGCAAAGGCAGAAATCATACTAGAATGTAATGAAGGTTCAGCTACCATGTTTTATTGTGTCTTGGGCTATATGGGTTTCCTGGCCCTTATTAGCTTTATTATGGCTTTCCTGGCCAGAAAGTTACCCGACAGTTTCAACGAGGCTAAATTTATTACTTTCAGCATGTTGGTGTTTTGCAGTGTTTGGCTGACTTTTGTTCCAACATACTTGAGCACCAAAGGAAAATACATGGTGGCTGTGGAAATATTCGCCATCTTATCATCCAGTGCTGGGTTACTGGGCTGCATCTTTTCCCCTAAATGCTACATCATTCTGCTCAGGCCTGAGCTGAACAACCGGGATCAATTAATAAGGAAAATAAAATGAAAACTTATGTCCACAACTACATTTTGCTCCTGAATATACATATATTTACTTTGCTGTATAAGTCATTTGCATTATATCATCACATTCTGGCCTTTTGGGTTGCATCTTTTCCTCTAAATGCTACATCATTGTGTTAGAGTCCAGCTGAATAACTGAGAGAATGAATAGTATAATAGATCTAGAGAAAACAAGCTATATGGATAACATTGTCATGAATGTTATTATGTCCACTTCTTCTTTCTACTCCTGTATGTATTTTCATTGGAGTTGGCAAGTACTGCATAGGCGCTTGTTTAAGCAAGCATCCCTCAGAGAATTCTTGCAAGTAGAGCTGAGACAGACCCATGTCACCCAAAGTACCTGTCCACCTTCATTCTACTAGTCCAGTCGCTCCACACTCTGGGTGACTGCTACTTGATTTCTGAGGAGAAATATCTAGCTTTGGTGCCTAGTGTGCAGTTATTTAGCATCATGGGTGGTGCATCCCATTTCACTACTTGAGGTAAAATGGGAAGTGCTGCTGGTCCTGCCATTTGACCTGCTCTGTCACCTCCTTGGCAAGCATCAACACCTATTTCCTGTAAGATCTCATAAGATCTCACCAACATGTCATGAGATATCTCACTCCCTGTGTGATCTCGCAAGATTTTGGTAAAATCTCATGAGATCTCATCGGAAATTGGTGCCAATACTGGCTTTGCTTCTCTGACAGTGGTGGTGACAGTGGTGGCGTTTGGGCATCCACAGGGGCACTGCCTCATGGGCTTCTGCTACCTGAGATGGCTGTTTCACCCCACTTCATGGGTGGGCTGCCCCTGGGTAGCAGTTGAGAAATCTTTCCCAAATGAGAGAAGAACACTACCTGTGTTCCATCCCCCATAATTGTTCCTATAGAAGACATTGCTATCATAGTGAACAAGTTTCTTTTTCCTACAAAGGTTGTAGAACTTGTGTTTTAGCCCCTTGATCCATCACAGAAAAGATACTACTAGGTTAACTCTACTTGGAGGTGAGAGTGGGGAGAATCAGTCAGCCACAGGAATTTGACCTTTGTACACAAAGAGGCACAAATGCAGAAATGCAGCTACAAAGGTCAGATAGTGATACCGACAGAAATAATGGGAGTGCAATCTCCCTGATCTCGTGGACTCACAAGATTAACTGAGAAGCACAAAACTAACAGGAAGAGAAGGTGGCGTTTTTCCTGTTGAGGGAAAAGGGGGCAAACTGTTCCAGCAACTGTTTCATCAGAGGAGGACTGAAATTAGCTGACCTCCAACTGAGGCTTCTTAATTGACAAATAAATCTGAAATAATTAACTGCCGGAGTCATTTTGTGTGTGTGGGAGAGACCCAAGCCTGACATCCAAATTACTAGAAAGGATAAATACAGCCGAGTTTGGCAGATGATACTCAATGACATTCAGTGCCAGAAAAAAAGAGTGTTTTTCTATCATAGATAGATTAACGTCACCAAAATGATTAAGCTATCTATTTCAAACAATTCCACTTTGGATGTCAGAAAATCTATTGCAAAATCTATTGCTGTACAAAACTTTTAGATTTGCTCAGAAAAAGAAACCCCGTAAAAACAAGCCAAATTTGTATTTTACTGAAGAAGATGACTGGGGCCTATCCAATTTAGTAACATATTATCTGTCAAATCACTTCCATCATACTGTTCCTAATTTTCCAGACGGATGGGATTAGAATCTAAAAGAAATGAGGGTGTTCCATTTTCTGCTTTTCCATTATTGAAGCATAAATTTAGATTGAAGTTAAAACTCCTCAATAAATTCACGCAGACCATTTATAACAATTGGAAACAAAAGGTGGCTAGCTTATCTCCTGCCCTATCACCATAAACCCCCTAGCATACCACCTTACTTTTCATAACTTTTGACACAGGTCCCACCCCAACTTCCCTGGGACTGCTAAAGAACTGTGTGCCATGAGGCAAGGCAGAAGCAAGAAGCACCTATATCATCAGCTCCCAGTTGGCATGCAAGGACTCTGTCAATCTTCAGCTTATATAATGTGCCTGTTTTAATGTTGAAATTGCACACCACTTTGGGTGCCTCAACAGAAAGGTGGCATATAAATCCAATAAATAAATAAAAAAATCATACATAATATAAACTCTAGGTGTGTGTCAGGGTCTATAAACAGTCTCTCAGTTCACTTCATTTTCAGTTCTGGGGAATGCTCTCAAAATGTTTAAGCTGTGCTAAGTGGGCGAGGGCACTCATGATAAATTGTCTCAATTTTCTGGGCCAGCACTGCATTCTGCACATCAGTTAAGGTTTCAACAGAAGATCAATGTATGTTGGACAGAACTCCCCCCTCCTAAATCCTCTAGAATATGTCAGGAGAAAACTTAACATCTCCACCAAACTTGCAAAGAGGGAAGGTTGCTGTTACCCCTAAGATCACGAAAAGGAGATCAATTTAATCATCCACACCTTCAGGTCACCCTGCCCAGTCAAGAAAATCAAATTGTGATAGTTCTGTATAGCCAAATATATTTTACTTCAGCAAATTAATAATTGTCATAATATTAACAATAAGTAGGACAAACAAAATTGGAAAGGGATCTGTTAAAGAACATGGAGCCATAAACATGATAAAATTCCTCAGGCTGTGATTTTAAACTGGAGCATTCATACAATCATAGAATCATAGTGTTGGAAGGGACCCAAGGGTCATCCAGTCCAACCCCCTGCAATGCAGGAATCTCAGCTAAAGCATCCATGGCAGATGGCCATCCAACCTCTGCATAAAAACCTCCAAGAAAGGAGAGTCCATTCACATTATGTGAAATAGGAATCACAAGGGAACTGAATTGTAGTCCTGTGCTTACTCAGCTATGTGCTACATATAATCTCTCAAAGAAGTATAGCAGCAAAATTTAGGGGGGGGGGGAAATAACTTCCTAGTCAAGAATGATGCAACCTCAAAGGCCAACAGCACATTGGTGAAATAATAATTATTCTTATCACTCAGAAAATTACTGCTTTCTATCCTCTGGCCCACTGGAGATTCCAGAGCCTGTAAGCAAGATCAACAGTCAGCATTTGAAGAGAACTATAAAACCCTTGTGTTACTCTAAATTTGATCTAGGCATAGGCTGTGCTTTGGAAATAATAACATGTACATTCCATTCCTTTGAAATACAGATTGAGGGGTTAAAGTTACAGTTTTGGTTTCTTTGCTCATGATACATAAAGATATCTGTATGTTGATTTTAAACACTCCTCTTTACACAATGAAATGAGGATATACAAGAAATGCAGTGTTTGGAGACACAGACAGATGAGATGATATTTCTAAACATACAACCAGGATCTCGGAGCACTGATTCCCTAACTAAACATGTGGTAAACCTGTTTAGCAACAATATCATTCAGCATTCAACGATGTAGCAAAACTACTAACAGTCACATGCAATGCTGCATTTGGAAGCATGGGAATCTATGTTTGGAGGCAAAATTTTCTCACCAGGATCATGGTAGTGATCGTGTTGCTGCTTGCACTGCTGTGTCATTCCGTATGTAAGACACATTCTATTAATTGCAGCATATTGGATGATCCTGTCCCTATTCCTCATGAATTTTACCAGCCAGGAAACCTTATCATTGGTGTCATTGTTTCTCAAGTTGTCTTCCTCTATAACCATCTCAGTTTCAGGGAACAGCCCACACAGATCTTGATTAACGAACCCATGTAAGGCAATATTATTGATCTCTCACCCAATTTTTAATATGTGCAGACCATTATTATTAAGGAATGCTGTTTTTTATTTACTTTCTAGTGTCACAAAAGTGACTTGGGTGCCTGCAGATGAGCAAGGACGAAGAATACAAAAAAACCCCCACACGTTGTAAATTTATTAAACAGCTGTTACTCTTATTACAGATCTGTGCCAAAGAACTACCAGCATATACTAGCCTTAGCATTTGCTGTCAAAGAGATCAATGAGAATCCCAACATCTTATCAAATATATCGCTAGGATTCCACATCCTCAATAGTTACTACACTGCAAGAATGACGTATAAAGCTACCCTGAATCTTCACTCCACACAACATAGGTTTGTCCCCAACTTCATTTGTGACAACCAGAACAATCTGATAGCTCTCATTGGAGGGTGCATCTCTGAAATCTCTGCCAATATTGCCATCATTTCAGCAACCCGAAAGACTCCACAAGTAAGCTGTGTGCATGGGGATATGGAGATTTCACCTCTCTGGTACAGAATCTTTATTTCAGGAAATGGGTTCAGAGAAGGGTAATGACTCTAAAATGGATAATAACCCATTTAAGGGAAGTTTGAAAGAACTTTGTAGATTTAGTGTGCACCAGAATAGGCTAAGTGGAGAGAGTGTGGTCCTTCTCACATGACCCAAATAACTCCTGCACCTCTGTGATTCAATAATTAAGAATGATCTTGTCATCCTTTTAAAAAAACGCTTATGCATTTGATTTCAGCTCACCTATGGATCATTTTTGCCACAACAAGGTACAAAACTTCTATTTCCATTTTTGTACCAGATGGTCCCAGATGAAACCTACCAGCATATAGGAGTTGCACGGTTACTTCAGCATTTTGGATGGACATGGATTGGGCTCGTGGCTGTGGATGATGACAAAGGAGACAGGTTTTTACAGGCAATTGTGCCAATGCTTTCCCAGAATGGAATCTGTTATGCATTCATAGTAAGAATACCAAAATGGAATTATGTGGATGAGATGGTGGACTATGGTTTACAGCATTCAGTAAATTATGCAATTGTCTTTGAGCAAAACCCCAGAGTATTTTTATTTATGGAGAGCCTCCGTCCTTTCAGGTTTTGAGATTAATGCTATTTGTAGCACCCTTAATGGAATATCCACCTCTGGGTAAAGTATGGATTATTACATCCCACTGGGATTTTGCATCCCTGTCTGTTCAGAAGAATTGGGAAATACAGACTTTCCATGGTTCCATATCCTTTACAGTTCA